ATCTCTAACATTCTGTGATTCTGTGGCTCTCACTGACGATGTTATTACCCTAGCCACCTTTACTGGTTTCAACTGGAATCTATTTGTCTTAGTCAAGTAGGATTGCAAGTTCCTCTCTGCATTTACGGAGAGACACAAATTCACTCCATAATTCTGTATCCCTGCTCAAAGTTCATGGTAAATTCCCCTAAGATTTGTAACACAGGTAATAATCAAAGGAAAATAAATCCCTTACGGAAGTTCATAGTTTGAATATAGACCTGAGAAACATATTGACCTAGAAGAACTGAAAATTCCCATTAAATTATTAAAATTCCACTGTTTTAAGATATAGAAGTAACCATTTAAGTCAGATAAGTGACTGCCATGCTCATACACCTTCTAAAAATCTAGACATGACTTAAAATGTAACCGCAGGACCTTCTTAACACTAACAGCTTCACCTTAAGGTCAGCTATGCCAGAAACTGAAAATGCTAGTTGTGGCTTTGTATGTTGTACTTTGAGAACTTTTCAGGCATTAAATGGGGTGGAATCAAAGTATCTGTGATTATAGTAACCTTTGTTCTACAGTTTCCAAAAGCTTTTGCAGAAAAAAATTAACTGTGGCCACAGTCATAGTAAAGTCTTACCCTCTTTTTTTTTCTTTTCACTTAATATCATTGCCTAATACTGAAGTATGGTATAAGTGTAGTTCTCTGTTGAAGGGGAGCTGTGCTTGCTTCCTAGTACTACAGGATCTGACATGAGATTTATCTCAGAGAAGAATGGATTCAGCTGCAGTTTGAACTATGGATCTATGAAGGCATATGATTATAATTGCATCACAGTATTTTAAGTACAAGCCATACCAGCTCACGTTAATAGGGAACCTAAAATCTCCAGAATCTTTCCAGTAAATCCATGTCTGGCAGATATCTAGGCCCCTACAGATGCAGAGATGCACTGTAGACTTTGCATAGTGAACCTGCATTTTCCACAAAAATTCAAAATGAACAAAAAATTAATTCAAAGTCATTCATTAGCTAAACAAGCCTACTTCAATGATAAAGCAAAGTTAGCTAACCTAAGGGTGCAATGCAGGTCTATTTCAAAACTGGCACCCACACTATCATGTGAAGAGGTGAGTGGTAACACACAAAGCCAAAAGAGACCAATCACATTCAGTATCTGCCTTCTGCCTCCCCACAGTTTGTCAGGACAGTTTCTTATGATGCACAAATCTGATATTTCAGTGTAAGAACTAAAGCTAGCATGCAGGTCTGTAATTTAAGCACCAGACAATAAAAAAAGAGCCAGCCAGATCCTTGCTGGTAACATCAGTGAAATAAATATGCCTGGTTCTCAATTGCAGAAAGGCTCCTTTGCACCTCTCTGGCTATCCAAAGTTGCTAGCGCCAGCACCAACAGGCTCATACTTCCCATAAAGGTGTGAGATATGGGAATACTGACAGGAGAAGCCCTCAGTATTAACGACAGTCGTTTCACCGGGAGGACCAACAGAGCAACACTTAACTCAAAGTTTCTATTAAAGGACCTGGGAGACAGGTAGCTGAAGGATGAACACCACCAAAGATTTTCATCTGTGTCTAGGAGGTGTTTCTACTGAAGAGATATTGCTGTAATAATGCTCAAACGGCAAGAAGGAACACAGTGTAAGGAAAACGGGTAAATTAATGCTTTAATAATACACAAGTAACGGTATCATCCATTTACCCAAATCAATTAAATGAAGAAGGACAATCTCGTTTCTAGGCAGTTGCCAGGACAGATTTGCTGAGGGCTTCTCCACGTTTCCAGTCCCCCTTATTCCTGAAGCACTATTGCCCTCTGGCTGTGAGCCTCAGCCCCTGCATGGAGCACCTGCCACTTCAGCCCCAGCCCCAGCTAGTTTTTGTTGTAGTCCATGATAAGAGAAGTCTACTGTCAGAAGAGTTCAGGTTCCCAAGGCTAAAGAAACTACAGTCATTTCTAATGTCAATCGGTTTTGTTGCTGTGTAAAACAATAAACAAATGTGCCCTTTTCTCTGAGTAAGAACTACCATGGGCTGAATACAGATTTGAAATTAACCTGTGGTTCTGTCATATTACCAGAAGAAAAAAAATTATAAAATCTTTGTCTTTTATAATTGGCATGTTTTCCCCTGAACTGACAAAAAGGCACTTGCAGGATTAACAGTAATAGCTTTTTTTTGAAAAAAGTCACCTCACCACACAGATATGTTTTTTTACTCTAAGCTCTGACAAGCTTGGATAATAAAATTTTACCCACACAAATGCAGTGTTTAAACAGCAAAGAAAGTCCTACTCTGGCTATTACAGGAATTGTTGTCTTCCTTAATTCCACATACAAGTCTGGGTCCTGTAACCACTGATGTTAATATAAAAAGTCACCCAGCTTATTTTAAGATTGCAAAATCAAGTGCAGTCAGATAAGGGGCTTCTCCCTCTTTGGGGGTACATGTCCCTTTCAATCTCCTTCAATTGAGAGCCCTGCCCAATAAAAAGTTAAACAGAGAATCCCGAAGCAGTGATGAAATGTCATGAACAAGGATGATGAAAGCAGGAAGGACCCCACAGAGGATATCCTTCTACAGCAATTCAGCAATTTTCCTCCAAATGCCTCTTTGGACCAGCCTCTGCAGGGTGCATCGGCAGTGAAGCCTGGTGCAGAGTTCAGCAAGGCAGGCCTGAATGCTACAGTGCAGCAGCAGCTCTGCCTTTGCACAATAAAACTGGGCCGATAAGTTCAGTAGAGCCACCAGAACAGTTTTTGGTTTTGTCTTTTTTTTTTTTTGCCATCTCTTTTCTCCTTCCTTGATAAATCCCTGTCTCCTGTTCCCTGTGGCTTTTCTGTCCTTCTCCACCAAATCTATGTAAAACTATGCTCCTGACTGTGTTAAGCAGACAAATAAGTGATGAATACTGCTGGTAAATATTTCTGAATGGGATGCTTAAAGCAACATTTCAGGTTTTTTTCCTCAGAGGAGGTGGGGAAGGAAGCTGAAATGGATAAAGTAAAAAAAAAAAAAAAAAACAAAAAAACAAACAGAACTGAGGACTGAAGGAATAACAAGAGCTCAGAGAGAACTGGAAGGGATCACAACAGTCTGCTCTAAAGCAAAAGTGTTGCCATCAGAAGGAGGAAGGTCCTTCTAGGTTAGGAAGGCTTTCTGGCAGTCAGGTCAGCAGAAACACCTGCAGTACTTTTAAGGGTATTTTTCTCACACTACTTTTAACAAGACGACTTTTGTCAAGTCCTAGTCATGCCTCTTCCAACAGATTTGAGGAGACTTGTTGGTATGCATGAACTGTGAATGTCTGTCATATATCCCCAACCATCCAAGCTTCCTCTTAGAGATCCTCTCACAACCCTGCAGATCTTTGGAAGAAGTTTCCTCAAAGTGAGTGCAAAAGAAATAAAAGCATGTTTCCCCCAGAGAATGTGGTACTTTTGTTCTGTACTTAGCAACAAAGTTTTGTAGTAGCAAACCACACAATCAATTTTAATGAAATAAAAACATACATTCTCAGAGAGAGAGAGAAGTTCTGGAAGGAAAGCATATTTGTACCAGAAGCATTTCACGAGTGTGTCCCTTACAAGTGTAAGGGGTTTAACCATTAATGGATTGACTGTGAGTCAATCCCATCAGTTATTTTCTTGAGCCTGGGCATGGGGCATGAGCTTGGTACAGCCTTGTACTGCATGCTCCACAAGAAAGTCAAATCTTCAGGGAATTTCCTTCCTTTTTTTTTTTTCGTTTTTTGTTTGTTTGTTTCCCATGGTTGGCTGCTATCTTTTTTACATTACTAGAGATATGTTAAATGGTTGAAATCCAGGACCTTTGGGCACCTAACAAAGAACTCAGTGAAGATGAGGAAATCATCAGGAAACCATATTCAGAGAAGCAGTGTCTAAATATAATTTTAGTATTTGGTGCAAGAAGATTTACCTTTTTTTGAGACATGGAAAATACTCTTCTGATTCTGTGACTTTGTACAGAAACATTGGTATAACTACAGTTACAGGAGAGTGAGACGGGAAATGCTGTAAATTTCCAAGGTCCTGGAGTGAACTCATATAGAAAGAAACAAAATATTTATGTGATGAACCTCTTCAGAGTGCATGTTACAGAATCTGGGTTTAATTAATAACATGGCATAGGTATAGCTGGGTGAGGCAAAAAGGGGGTTTATCAGCACTGCTGAAGAGCCACCATTTTTTTCTGAGATACTGAGGACTGTCTCAGACTTGGACAAAACAGGTGATAGAGAGATTTCAACAATGCAGTTCCCTGCCTTTTTTTCTACAAATTACT